CCACTATTCTACCCAAGTTGAAGACGAGAGTCTGGCAGATGTTCATGAGGACCATGCCAGTCTGAACCTGAGCCTCGGCCTTTTGGAAGACCTCGACCTTGGCTCGATATCGGTTGGACTCGTACTCCTCTGCGTTGAAGTATTTGACCGTCTCATAACTAGAGATGGAGTCGTTCTTCACCGCTTCTTCTTCGCGATCGGCGTTTGTCATCTCTCGTCGCTGGTCTGCTCTCGTGGCGGCCATCTTGATTGTCATGTAAAGGTACCAACAGGTGTCCACCAAGTTGAGTTGGGCGTACAGGGGACCAAAGTTGAAGTAGAAGACGGAGATTGAGAGGAACAAGTCGAAAAGCATGGGGATCACCTGGAACGTCACCTGTTCGAGGAAGGCATTGATGGCAGAGCCCTTGTTGAGTGCAGAGAGAACCTCGCCAGTGCGCTTCGACAAGTGGAAGTCGAGGCTGAGAGAGTGGACATGGTTAAAGGCCGCGGCTGTCAGTCCTCGATACGAGTATTGCGAAACAGGAATCCAAAGCAAGGATCGCAGGGAGCCAAGAAGGCCCGACTGTCCCTGTAGCACCCAGAGAATGCCCAGAATGAGAAAGTCTCTGAGGGGGAAGTTGTCGCGGGTGATGGGCTCGCCACTTCGGATGACCTTTTCCAGTTGGTTGACGACTTTGCCGATCTGCCAGGGAACATAGACGTTGACCAATCGTTGAACAATGACTAGAGCAAAGCACAGCAGTACCTGAAGCTGCAGCTTGACGGAGTCTTTGGGCCAAAGATATGGGAAAAACAGAGAGTAGCCTCTAACGTACTCTAACCATGTCTTGTGGGGAATCTTCTTCTGACGGTAGAAGGCAGCTTGGTCATCCTTGCGTGCGTAGGACGATGCGGAGGGCTTGGCAGCGTTGGAGATGGTTCTACCACGAGACCGTCGGCCATTAGCCTCAGAGCCTGCGTTTGATCGAGCGTCAATGGAGGAGCGAGGCTGCCCGTTAAGCAACAAAGGCGTGGTTTCAGTGATGGCACGTCCTTCTTCGGCCCTATCCTCGACGCGACGGCTCTTGAGAATCCAAGCAACGCAGAAGAGAGAGATTGAACCGATGATGTGGAGCAGACGGACGAAATAGAGAACGAGGTCAATCTTGGTCCACGAATCAATGCAGTTCTGGTCCTTGGTGGGGTCTTCTTGCTGGACAGTACGCATAAAGTGGCAATCTGCGGCAACAATGGCGGTGGAAATGAAGAGGATGAGTTCACCAATGAGGCCAAGAACCCAGATGGCCAGATGAACAACATTAGGACCCTTGCGCCAATCAAACAGCGAGAAGAGAATATAAAGGTAAAAGAAGGTAGAACCCAGGACATGAACCTATGAGAGAAGCTGGTTAGTGAATTGCAGGGAAGGGAAGGGTTGAGCGCGAGGCCATTGGACAAATTTCCAACAAGCAGATGCTAGTCGAAGCTCGACCCAAGTGCCTGGGACCGATATATGGAAGAGGGAGCATGGAGGGGTTGTCATACCACAGACCACTCGCCAGCCCATGGAAGTCCATCCTTTGACCATTTATAAGGGTTCTCATGATAGAAGGCATGGACAAACATGGAAACCCCAGTGGCCACATAGCTCAAGAAGACAACAGCAGCGAGATAGCGAAAGACGTTCTTAGCGATGCGGCCAAAACGAGGACCGATCTTACGTTCGCCGTCGTTGCGTCGCTTGCGCTTGGTGATGGGTAGGGGCTTGCCTCCAGGGCCCTTCACCTTGGGCTGGACAAGGTCCTCTTCTTTCTTGGAGTTGAAGACAGAGTACCAGGCCGCAAGGGAAATGAAGGCAACGAGAAGAACCAGAGAGTAGACATATTGGGTATCGCGAAGGAGGATATCGGCCAAGGTGAGGTCCTTGGCACCGCCGGGGGCGGCAAAGGCGCCACGAACGTCGTCGGGCGGCGCGTCGTCAGCCAACATTTTGGCAAGCTGCGAGAAGAAAAAAAAAACAACTGGTTAGCAGAGGTTCGTGGCGTGACGGGCGATGGAGAAAAGCTTTGGGGGGTGCAGAGAATGGGGAAGGGGGAGAACTACTAGGCCTCTCGAGAGCAGCAGATGGAGGCAAGGCGAGGCGACGGATGCGTGATGCTGAGGCGGCGCGAGTTGCGAGAGGGTGTGTAGAAGCTTTGCTTGGGATCTTGGGATCGCGGTGATGGAGTTTGGATAGTGCAAGGCAGAGGTGAGGTGATGTGATGCCGAGAGAAGAAGTGGGAATGGCAAGGTCAAGTGTTGCGGCTGTCACGGGGGGGCAAAGGAAAGAAGAAGGATACGAGGGAGCAGGCTTACAATGAATGCTGGGGCCAGTCACCTGAGATGAAGCATTGCCGGGCAGCTGGCAATTGGCAGCTGGCGATGAGGGGGAAGTGAAGTGAGCAGCAAAGGAGGAAAAAAAAAAGAGGGGATATGGATGTCGAGAGACGCTCAGCTGCCAAAGCGAGCGAGCGATGAAGAGGGCAAAACCTGAAGTGGTGATGGCAATGCGAGAGAAGGAGGAAGTACATACACGCAGAGCAGAGACCAGACGTCAAAAACGACGGTTTTGGGCCCTTACTGGCCGATGCACAAGTGGATGCAATCCATTGATTCATGTCCATAGGCCCATTTGATCGCTTTTTGGGGGGTGCGGTGGAGCTGCCTGTCTCCGTCTGCTCGGTGGTGGCCGCTGCGCTGTGCTGCACGCTGCATGCCGTTCTGCCTCTACCCAGCTG